AGAGAGAGAGAGAGAGAGAGAGAGAGAGAGAGAGAGAGAGAGAGAGAGCCTACCTGGGGGATTTGCCTCTGCTACAGGCTGCCCGTCTAAAACGGATGCCCGTTCAAGGTAAGTGTTTTTATTTCATTTTTTTTCTTCTTTTTTTTTTTCCAATTTTTTTTTTTCTTGTTTCCTTTCGGAAATAGGTGGCGCCCGTTCATTTTAACAACGGGCTGCTGCGGGTGCATAAGCACCCGAATCTGGCACTTTTTCGTCCGTTCATTTTAACAACGGGCTGCTGCGGGTGCATAAGCACCCGAATCTGGCACTTTTTCGTGCCAGATACAGGCGCGCAAGCATCAAAGAGGAAAGAAGGCCCCATGGAGCTTGACTCTAGTATTGACTGAAGAGACCCCTGCGACGCCCGTTCGTTGCTAAGCAACGGGCTGTCCCCTCACAAGGAAAACGAGGGGGTAAAAAGAAAGGAAAGAAGGGGAAAAAAAAAAAAAAAAAAAAAGGTAACGGCCACGTACATGGCCGTGGCCGCGGAACAGGTGCAGCCCCAAAAAGTTATGGAGATGGATGGGACTGCGCCTGTTCATTTTGAATTGGCAGCAGTGAATGGCTGGGTACAGCCATGTCCAGGGGCACCTGGCCTGAGAGAACGGCCGGGTACTCCTGGGGAGTGATGACCTTGGTTTCTCTAAGGGGAAACCAAGGTATCTAGCTCCTGGCAATTGATTTTGATCAAGGGCCAGGCGCACAAACGATTTTTGCTTGGGTGTGGGCAAGGCAGCTGCCCACGTGCCCTCAGCCAGCTATAAAGGCCAACATCTTACCCAGCAGCCTCACACTTGTGGCAGTGCTGCTGGGCATTCTACTTGAGTAGATGCTGGTTGGCTGGCTGCTGGTGTAGTGACGGAGTGCTGGCAAAGTGCTGGAGGACTGCTGGATAGCGGAGTGAGGAGCGAGGCAGCCATAGCCGATGCTGAGGGCATTTTGCCTCAGTGTTAGGCTGGTGCTGCGCCTGTGGAATGACCCCTGGGACCACTTGTGGAACCAAGGCTCTATCCTAGGCTGGTTGCAGCGGTGCGGCAGGGTGAACTTCCCTTTGAGTAGGGTTATGTTGCCGAAGTGCGGACGCATCGGCGCATGTTTTTTATGTGAGTGTGGGGAAGTGCTGCCTTTTCGGCGGCACGACGAAGGCGGTATTTTCAGTGGGGTTACGCTGCCGAAATGTTGGCTCGGCGGCAACCTTTTTTTTAGAAGGAAGGTGCTGCGGCTGTGAGGCGGCAGCTGCGACACTTCGGATGGGGAGGTGTTGCTGGACTGACGGCGTGGCGGCATCAAGGTCTCCCTAAGGGGAGGTACTGTCCGTTTGACACCACGACAACGGCAGCAGCACTTCAGTGGGGCAAATGCTGCCAATTTTTTGGTAAGGTGGCAGCGGCACTTCAGTAGGGAAGTGCTACCAATGTTTTTTGGCACGGCAGTCGTGGTACCGGTTTCAATGGCGCGGCGAGCGGCAATTGCGTTTTTATGGTGCGCAGCAGTTATGGTGGATTGCAATATCGTATGGAGGTTGGGCTAGTGTTGGTGCACTATTAGGTTCGTGCGGCAATGGTGTGTGGGCCGGCGGCATGAAGGAAGTGCAGAATGAGTGCACACGGCGGTGATTATTGGGCACATGGCACATGAGTTTTTCAGCCAGGGCCACCTTTAT